TGACTAACAAGGTGTGTTTTGCACCTTTTCCTGTCCTGACGTGGCTGTGCCGCGACAGGGGGTTGGTGCAGCCCCATCCCACCATTTCCTGCCCTGCCCACCATCCATTCTTTTCTCCCTCTCATAGTGCGGACGCAGCGCTGAAAACTTCGACCGGTTTTTCACTCGCCACCCACCCGTGCTAACACCTCCCGACCAGGAAGTCATCAGGAACATTGACCAGTCAGAATTCGAAGGATTTTCCTTTTTTAACTCTGAGTTTTTTATGCCTGAAGCCAAGAGCTAAGTAGCTGTGTAGATCTCATCCCCACATCCATCATCCAGTCCCAGCTGCCGTTGTGGTGACATTTTCCATTGCGAAACTTGCATCCGTGGATTTTCTTCAGTCCCTTACTAGAGTGACCATATTTCAAAGCCAGAAGTGTCTTCCTGTGATTTGGGGTGTCCCTGGAGGGGAGGGTGATGTGCAGGAAATGCTGCAAATGGGCTTTTGTGATGTTTTTTTTGGTAGAAAATAGGACCAGTTCAGTGGGTGATGGAAGGAAAACAGAGACACAGTGGCAATTGGGAGAAATCCCTTCATCGTGTGTTTTAATTCCTGCTCTTTCATTTTTCTAGTCTTTTAATATAATCATGAAAATTTCATATTTTGCCTTCTTAGCCTTAGTGGCAAGTAAGTGTTTTTAATGGAACCGTTCCCCGGAGCCTTTTGGCTCCTCCCAAAACCTCTGGAGAGCCAAGATGCTGATTCTGGCTCCTTTTTTAGCTGTGTCCTGCTGTCTGTCCAGGCCCACCACAGCTCCCCTTCCCTCCAAAGATGCTTTGGGATGGCATGTTCCCAGTGCTGGGTCCCCAGCAATGGGATATGTTATTCAGGAAGGCAGAGCTGCTGTTGGCAAAGATTTCTCCTGATTGTGCAGTTCCTAAGTGGCATTTTTTTAATCAAAACAAACAATATCCAGTGCTAAGTGAGAAATTTGGAAGAGCTGCTTTTGAATCCATGGTCACCCCAGTAAACACCACCAACACCGGTTCTATAGTGAAGCTTCTTCTTCTTTTCAAATGCCAAAGCAATTGATGGAGTTTGTTACCTGTGCTTTAAATGTGTCAAAAAATGGTATTAACCCAAACGGAACCTGTTTAACTCTGACCAGTATTGTGAATTCTGATATGAGCCTTGTAAAGAAACTTGTTTCAACTATTAGTCCTACTCTTCAAAATTGCCGCTGGATATTTAAGTGGCCTGAGTTTTGTTTCTGGCCTCGAAGGAAACATTTCAGGAAGGGTGAATTTCTCTTGAAACAACAACAATCACACCACTTCCTTCTATCCCCCTGCAGATGTTTGTGGGCTGTCACTGTATCAATCTGCTTTGACTTGTAATGTGCCAATTTTTTTTTCTGACACTGATTATAAAATAAAAAGTGAGAAACTATGTCCAAGAAACCCGCATGTGTTTGGCAATAATGAGTTTCTGCAGTTCAGTGAGGCAATTCCAGGAGTTGAGGCTGCACCGCGCTGAGGGCTGGAAAGTTCCCTGAACACGGGGGGATGCCAGCTCAGGGACAGCACAGGCAGCACTGGAGCCATGGCCTGTTCGTCCTCTACAGCCTTTGTCCCAAAAAAACGGAGGTGGGATGTGCTGGAAGCATCGTCCAAGCAGGAGGTGATTGTCCAGTCCCCTGCACAGCCCACGCTGCGCAGCGACGGCCCCGCTCACTCGTGGACTCCAGCATGGACAGGGAAGGAGCTTCTCTGGGATGACCCTTGGAGGAAGGACGATCTGGGGTGGAGGATGGCAGAGCTCTGCCACTTGGGAATGTCTTCCAACGCCTTAAGCGGAGCCGACTGCGGCATCGCCTCGGATTTCTGGAGACTGCAGAGGCGAGCGCCCGGCGTGTGCCGGTGACTCATCCCTGCCCCGCTCTCCCAGGAGCAGTTGTTCAAAGCAATTGGCAGTTTCAGCTAAAGAGGGATTACAGGTTCCTGTTATCCTCCCTCCTGAGTGCCAGGAGAACCTCCCTCCTGCCTTTGGGATTCCGCTTCTGCCAAGTTCTGCGGGTCTGGACACTGCGAGATTGTTCCGAAAGCACCGATCGGCGGCACCGACAGCACCGGCAGGAGCTGACCCCAGAATCCTGCACCTGGGCAGCCCCAGAGCCCTGCCATGGGAAAGGGGCTCAGGAGCAGTGGATAGGGAGGATTCCCATCGCTGTGGTCCAGGCAGAAACACTGCTCTGGGCCAGCTGTGCCCGGACAGTGGGAGCCCAGGGTGTCCCACTGTGCTCCTCATCACCTCCCAAAGTCAAATTGCCCATTTCTGGAGGCACTTTCAGCCCAGAGTGTCCCCTGCCCTCTCCTCTCTCCATACCAGGTCCACGCAGCCATTCTGTGCCTGTTCCCAGGCTGTTCATCATCTTGACAGAAGCCAAATTGCCACCGATTCAGACAAAATTCAAGGTAAGAAACCAGCAAACTTCACTTTGCTGAACTCAGAGCTTCCCAGCCGAGCCTCCAAGGAGTGGGGGACTGCTGGAGGGGGCAGTGCACGGGGGTGGGCTGCCCTGAGCCCCCTCCAGGGCACGTCACTGCCTTTGCCAGAGCTTTCTGCTGCCAAAGAGCAGCAGCAGGACATTTTTCCCACCCCAGGGCCCCCAGGCTGAGCACTCTGGAGGGCAACTTGCACCAGTGGCAGATGTAGATGTGTCGTTCCCCTTTGCAGCATCCCACAGCGTTCCTCTGCAGGAGAAGCTCCTGGCTCGGTAGGATGGTGGTGTCCTGGCACACGTTGGTTTGGATGGATGTGGCCTTCAGGAACCATTTGGTCAGTTCGGCATCCCTCTGGGAATGGAGCAGGAGCCCGGTACCACCATCAGCTCCCTGTGCACAGGCTGGGGTGCAGGAGGGACCCCGTGCCCACCCCCTCTGCAGCGAAGGACAGCACCTGCCATGGACCACCCGGCCCCTCGTCCCTGGGGGGACCCTGCTGCCATCAAGGTGGGCTTGTCCTCGCGCTTCAACTGCTTCACCCTTTGCCTGCAGAACTCTGCACCTGAAGGCGGCTCCTTCGCCATCTGCCCTTCCCTGCTCCCGCTCTGTGCCCCCAGATCTGCATCTTCTTCCTTCTCTGTGCTGGGAGTGGAGCCCTGGAGAGACTCTGACGGCTCAGGGACAGTCTGGGACCCACAGACACCGGTGCCTGCCCTGAGCTTTGCCACGTGTTCGAGTCCTGATGGCACAGCCACGTCCCAGCTCTTCTCCTGGCTTTTCTCTCTTTGCTCACTGAGCTCCATCCAGCCCTGTTTTTCTTCCCACCTCGTCTCCTCTCCATCACCCTTGCCTCTCTCTGATCCTCCTCCCACCAGGCTAAAGCCATCCTGATGGGATGTCTCCTGTGACGAGTGGGGTCTCTGAGCACCCCTGTAGGTCGTGCTCCGTTGCTGGCTCATCTCCCGAGGCTCGGTCTGCCTGCAGCTGTGCTGTGCTGCTCCTTGCCTGTCGGAGCTGGCAGGAGAACCTCTCTGTGCCGTGTCCTGGCCATGCTCCTGCTTGAGGCAGGAAGATGCCGATGGCTCTGCCCAGAGTTCTGGGACAGTGGCAGCTGCTGGGACAAGAGGGGCTGCAGGGAGGACACAGCATCTCAGCTGCCAGGTCCTTCACCAGGACAGCAGCAGGAGGTGGGGGGAGCAGGGTGGGATGTGGGACCTGCAGGACCCCCACAGTTCTTTTTCTCAGTTTGAGTTGACAGGTTAACCCAGGGTTGGAAATCCTGGTGCAGCAGAGCAGGGCCCCCTTCAAAGGCAAAGTGTGGGAAAAATGAAAAAAAAATATATTGCAGGATTCTGCGAGGCACCAAATTTGTGACAGGGTCCTGCCGGTGGCACAGCAGGGGAAGGTCACCTCCAGCACAGTGTTGGGGTCTCTCTTATGGAAGAAGGGATGGAGAAGGTCTTTTGTCCCTGTTGGCTTTAGTAATGAGGCAAAGCAGAGCCAGTTTCCCAGCTGCCAATGCCCCCCCACATCCCATTGCTGTGGATGAAGGACCCTGGGTGCTTGTTCTGTACCTTCAGTGCTCAGTCACCCCTTCAGCCACGGCCCTGTCACCTCCCACAGCGGGACACCCCTGAGCCAGGCGGTCTCTGATCCACACGGTTTAGAAAACCAGCCCACGCGTTGCCAGCGCTGGCTCCGCAGTGCTGATAGCAGGTTCCCAGCGCTAATCCTGACACTAACGTCCTTTTTTTTCCCTTTTTTGGCTTGGGTGTAGCTGCAAAGTGGTTCTTCTTATGAAATTAAAAGGAGAAAAGGTTGCCTATGTGGAATTTTCCTTCTTGGAGGTTTTGAAGTGCTGTGTGTTTTCTCTGTACAACCCTGGAGCAAATCACATCCTCCATCAATGAACCAGTGTTAGTTAACACCATATCATGACATCATTCAAAAACCGAGCTTAAAGCAGAAAGAGCTCTCACAGCTGATTATTTTGTTTAAATTTTAACATTGTACTGATTGTTTTGAGGCATGTTGCTTCCTCCAGGCTCCTTCCTCCTGTGCGGTGCCAAGCTCTGGTTGCAGTGGGGGTTCTGCATGCTAAGAACTGCTCTGTGTTCTCTCTCACAGTGAACAGGAGAGGAGGGGTGCTCCCTTCTCAACACCCTCAGCTCTCGTGTGTCCTTTTGTGTCCTGGTTGTGTGTTCCAGGCCTGTTAAACTGGTGTTCTTCTCTTCTTGCTGGTGGTGTGGGGCTGCTTCTTTTGTACAGGGCGGTGAGTTCCTCATCGGCGGCAGCTTGAGAAACTGGTGTGGAATGTGGAGCGCTGGGGACAGCACAGCTTCCCTGGGGACAGCACAGCTTCCCTGGGGACAGCACAGCTTCCCTGGGGACAGCACGGCTCCCATGGCTGTGCACCCCTGGGTGCTGCCACTACCCCCGGGTGCTGCCATGCTCTCTTGCTCGCTGGCTCAGTCCTTTCCCAGTTTAACTCTGTGCTTTCCGTTTAACAGAAAGACAAGCGCGACACTTCCAACTTCGACAAAGAGTTCACCCGGCAGCCGGTGGAGCTCACGCCCACGGATAAACTCTTCATCATGAACTTGGACCAGAACGAGTTTGCTGGATTCTCCTACACTAACCCCGAGTTTGTCATTAACGTGTAGTCGCGGTGCCAGCCCTCTCCTCGCTGTCCCAACTCCAGGTCGCCTTGTACATACCGACACTAGTCTTCCGGGATTAGCAGTGCAGACACACATTCCCTCCCGCCAAACACGCCGACCGCTTCTCCTAGGAGGCCTCTCCATGTCCGTGCCACTCGCTAGCTTGGTTTCCCTAGCCGGAGGTGTCCGGGGTGCCAGTTACCGATCAGTGATACTTCTAGGAACTGTAGTTGGTGGTGACTAATAGAGTTTTCAAACAGAAATATACCAAATTGCTACAGTCTCTGTAATTTTTGCAGTGGAATGCTGAGATCCCAGTGACCCAGCTACTCCCAAAGCGTTGCTGTGGAATGCTAAGCATGGTTGATCGCTTAAAGCGTTGTGCTGAAGCTTGCAATGAGTGTGAGCTTGTCTTAGAGGAGCCTTTTGTTCAAGACATGGGTACATTTGATCAGTGTGGAAAAATCTGCTTATAGACCTATATTTTTCAATGCATTGTCTATAGGGTCAGCCCGGCTCTCTGGAGTGTCCTCCCCCACCATCCTTCCCCGTGCTCGGGCATTACGACTCCAAACCAATCCCATGCCAGTTCTTGTAAATCAGAGCAAATCTTTTTCTAAGTGAAAGGTGGGGGTTTTTTTGTAACATCTGGAACAGTTTGCAGTTTTGATACGCTCTGTCAGCACTCGCATAAATCTTTCGCAGACACTGTCGAGATGTAACAGCTCTGTAAAGGATATTAATATTCTACCAAAACAGAACACATTTATATTCTCGGTTTACAATTTACCAACTGAAAACACGCCCAAGACCAAAGGGCTGCACTGAGGGCTATTTATAACGGAAACTTTTCTACTTTACACCCTCTGCTATTCTCTTCCAGGCTCCAAACCCATGGATTTCACAGGCATCTTGATTTCCCTGATTTCCACCAAAATTCCTGGGGGTTTTAGTCAGTAATCCAGGACCTTCTGCATAATTTAAAAAAAAAAACTATGAATGAGAAGAGACAATTTTGTAGCTGTTCGTGAGGCAGAGCCGTGGTGTGTGGGAGGGCAGGGGTGGGCAGGAGGAGGCAGGAGTGAGCAGGGGCTGGAAGGAGGGCACAACAGGCAGGAGCGGGCAGGGGTGGGCAGGAGGAGACAGGGGTGAGCAGGGACTGGAAGGAGGGGACAACAACAGGCAGGAGCAGACAGGTGGTCAGGAGTGGGCAGGTGGAGGCAGGAGCAGGCAGATGTAGGATAGGGTAGGCAGGGGCAGGCAGGAGGGGATGAGAGCAACCAGAAGCAGGTAGGAGCAGGCAGGTGTGGGCAGGGGCAGACAGTAGCAAGGGCAGGCAGGTGGAGGAAGAAGCAGGCAGGGGAGGTCAGGAGTGGACAGGCAGGAGCAAGGGCAGGCAGATGAGGGCAGGAGTGGATAGGGGCAGGTAGGAAGGAGCAGGTAGGTGTGGGCAAGAGCAGGCAGGAGTGGGCAGGGGTGGTCAGGGACAGACAGATGTGGGCAGGGGCAGGCAGGGGCTGCCCATCAGAAGCTGGGCAGTGGCTCTGGCTGTTGGGCACACAGAGGCCTCTGGATCCCCGTCCCCACTCCCGTCCCAGCCCAGACTGGCTGGTTTGCAGAACCCCCCTGTGTGTGTTTGCTGAACCAGCAGCGGTTCTGCTGTGCACAGCCATTCCTCCGTGCCATGGGGAATTGGGGTGGGATTTTATCAGTCAGGAGGAGTTCCATAGAGGAAATTCTGGTTGTAGATCTTTTATAAACATCAAGCTATACCTTTGGAAATTTTCTTTTCTTTTGATGATTCCTTGAGAACAAAGGCTGCGGGCAGCGAAGCCGATGTCCCGGTGCCAGGACGGGTGTCCTCGCTCCGTTACCAGCCACGGGCACTGTCCTGTGCCTGCTGGGGCGTGAGCCGAGCCCGCGGCCCCGGGTCCTGCCCTGGGCTGGAGGAAACCAAACCAAACCCAGAAAAACTGCAAATTGTGCCAGATGGAGGAGGGTGTTTATGAGAGGCCCAGGCAGGCTCGGGGGGCTGGGGGCTGGTGAGGGCTCCCGTGGGCCCGGCGTGTTCCCGAGGATGTCCCGCCATCCTCTGCAGCCCACAGCTGATGGCAGAGCATGTGTGTTACTGTGACCTTCAAACCTGTTGCTGCAGAATTAGTGTTACTTCAGTGGTGAATGTTTTTTATTTCCGTATCTTCGGCTCTGAAGGCGCTCCCAGGTCTGCCCAGGATGCTGCTGGAAGGTCTCCGGGGCTGAGGGGCACCTTGGGGCTGTGGGCACGTGCAGGGGGGAGTCACATCTTTTCTGTTTAGGACTTCTGTGTCTGTGTTGGGGTGACACTCGTGTGTGGAGCAGGCGTTGCTGGACACTGAACAAACTGGGTGGCCCTGGAGGGGACCTGTGGGGAAGCCAGGGCTGGCACCAGGCAGCCTGGGTGGCAGCTTTGGGATTGAGATCCATGTTCTGGGGAGAGTTTGGCAAAGGCTGGGTCCTCTTCACAGGGCTCGTACCGTCATTATTCCTGACGTTGTCCATTCTGCTGCTTGCCAAACTCTTATTTCAAGGTTTATTTCCAGATGACCTGTTTCTTCTGTGGAGAAACGTGTAATGGGATGTGCCTGGCCCTGCACAGACGCTCAGATCTGTGTGGACTCCTCCAAGGAAGGGCAGGGTGACAGGGGTTGAGTCACTGTTTACTGTAATTTGATGATTTAATCTTCACTATTGGATGGGGAGAGCAGAGCTGCAGGAGGATGCTCAGAGCTGAGTTTCAGGAGAGCCCCATTCACCAATGCCCAGGTGCTCTAATGATGGAGAAAGCCCAGTAAATCCATACCAGTAAATCCATACCTGGAGCACGTGGTGTCCCCACTGCTGTGTGTGTGTGTCAGAGCAGTGCTGGGGACAAGGGCACAGTGTGAGGCAGGAGAAGGATGCTCGTGGGGGACAGAGGTGGCACCTCAGCCCACTGATGCAGGGGGGGCTTGCTGGGTGCCCCTGGCCACTTGCTGCTGCTGGGGGAGGGGGTGCAGGTCTGGTGTCCCCCATGGATGCAGTGGGACCGGCAGCAGGGTCGGGCAGTGGCAGAGGGGGAGGGCTGAGGGGGCAGGACATGCGCTGCAAAGATGGCAAGTCCTGACTTTGTGCAAGGCTGGATTACATCCTAGTGCTGCAGGTAAGTGGGGTTCAGGCTCTCAGGTGGTTTCCCTGGGACAGGATGGATCAGACAGTTCCACCTTGGCCAGTGGCTGCTCCGTGCACAGAACCTGCCCCACTCCTGCTCCCAGTGCAGCTCTGTTTGCATGGGGCTGGGGACCTGCTGCTGCACTTGCCTCCCCTGGCTGGAGCCCTGAGCAGCCTTCTCATGCTGAGTCCTATCACCCAAGGAGTTATCGATTGATTTAATCCATTTAATAAATAAATGCGAGTTTGCACAGTGGCCAACCCATGTAGACAGAGAGCCTCAAGGATGGAAGATGAGCAAGCACAGGGCAGTCAATGTGCTCTGATGATTGTGAATCCCAGAGCTCTGATCTAAGGGAAGAACCAGGGGAGTTCTAGCACAGAACACAGGATCACGCTGTTCCAAAGGTTAGGATTGCACCTGGAGGGTGGAACTCTCTCCCACTGCTGAGTTCTGTGACTTGCCCACGGTAGCAGGAGCAGGTGAGCCTGTCTGACCACACGCCTCTGGATCCGTGCATGGAAGTGTCACCCAAGCTGTTTATTTCTGATCACATTCAAAGTGGCAATTAAAACAAGGAAAAAAAAAAGAAAAATGTTTATTGTTGAACAGTTTGTGTTTGTGCATTTGATTTCACCTGCAAGTATCTGATGACTTTTCTACATCCTAGACTACCTGCTGTGTGTTGTCAAACGGTTCTCATTAAGATCTCCTTTTAGATGGGCATATACTCTTGATTCGATTTGCTGCATGTATGAGAAAATAAAATATATAATTTTAAAGAAACCTTGAGAACTTGGCTTCTTTGCCCATGAGCCTCCAGGGGCGAGCCAGTGGCTGGGCATGCCCGAGGGTCCCAGCCAGGGATTCTGGGGCTTGGGGTCACCAGGAGGGGCCCTACAGAGCCCTGGTATAGCAGGAAATGCTGAGAAGTTGTAGGGTTTTGGTCAAAAAGCTGCATATCTGAACAGCTGGAGAGTATCAGCTGATGAAGCTGCCCAAGTGCAGGTCCCAGAGTGGAGACCTTCAGCTGCACTTCGAGGTACAGATGGACCAGGGGGAGCAGGGGAAGGTGCAGGTTGTTTGCATCTTCAGTTAATTGCTAGTTAATGGGTTAATGCTGCTGCAGAGGCTCTTCCCACCACCCTGTGAGCACTGGTTCCCAGGCTGGGTAGCTGGTGCAGGGCTGTGGGGCTGAGCTGGTGGCACTGGGGGGTTGGGTGCCCAGCAGCCCCTCTGTGGGCACCATGCCTGGCAGCGAGGTCAGGGGGCTGCAGGTGAGGGCAGGTCAGGGCTCTGCAGAGCTGATCTCAATCCTCTGGGGTCCCCCAGAGCCTGCACGTGCTCCAGGGCCCGTGGGGGTTCCTGGCCGAGTGCAACATCACACTCTGCTCACTCCCAGGAGAGCTCCACAGCTTGTACCTGCCTTTCTCCATCGAGGAACTCTGCTTTTTTAGGAAGTGTCCGTGTGAAAGCTGGTGAGTGTGTTGGGAAGGGCTTCTCCTCCTGTCTTTGGGGACTTCAGCTAAGCTTTCAGTAAGATGTCCTCATCTCTTCCACCTAGTGTGGCAGGTGGTCACTGGGAACCACCCCAATTCACCTGGGGGTGGGAAAACTGCCCTGCTCGACCAGCCCCAGCATTGCCCAGGTACCCCAGCATTGCCCAGGTACCCCAGCATTGCCCACGTACCCTAGCATCCCTCCTCCCACTGGGCAGCCCTGCTCTGTCTGCCCCTGCCAGGCCCTAGCCCCTGCTGCCTCTGCTGCTGCACTCAGCCCCCAGCTGTGCCAGGGAAGGTGCCCCCCAGCCCCAGTGCAGGGTTTTGGGGTGCCTGGTTGAGCCCCTCCCCAGATTCACTGCTGTGCCCTTTCCCAGCACGTCAGAAATGCTCCTGAGCTTTGCTTCTCTTGGCTTGTGTAAGTGAAACATTTGGTTTTGTGACACTTTCCTTAATTATGGGAGCTAATGACAAAACCATTGTGACAAATGACTCAGCTTTTGATAGTGAAGTTAATTAATTCTGAAGTTCGAGCCTCCATTGGAGTATCTGGAAAAACCCGATTAGGAAGTCTGCTTCCCCAGCGTGACACGGGCAGCAGGAACCCGGTCCCTGTGGCAGCCAGGTAAAACCCTCCCCACTGCTGCGAGGGATGATCCACCCGGAGCGAGGGGATTAAAGGCCAGACATCCCAGTGCTGCCTCCTGATCCGTCCATCCATCAAAGCACCCAGGGAAACACAGCCTCATTAACGTCGGAGTGAGTGACCAGGAGCAGCTCTGCGTTGGGCGCTGACCTTCAAGAGCGTCTCCCTGAAGCCATCTTTCATCTCTTTCATTTGCATTACAATCCTGTTTGCCTCATTATTCCTTATCCACTTCTTCTTCAAAGGATTTAAATCAAATCAATTAAATTGCGGCGGCTGGAGCAGCAGTGAACCTTTCCTTGTGGCTCAGCGTGGTCCAGCCGGACCCGGCTACAGAAGGGGTTTAATCTTCTGCTATTTGTTCTTTTATTGCTTCTGGGGTACCACTGCCCACAGATCCCTCTGGTAATAGTCTGTCCTTCCCACCCATCCCATGCAGATATTCTCCACGTACAGGCTGGTCTCTGTATGACCTTGGGGAAGGGATTCTCTTGGCTTCCCTCACAGAGCCTGGGATGGGGATGATGGGGAGCTGCTGAGCTGCCCAGAGCAGCTGGAGGAACCCTGGGGCACTGCCATAATGGTTGCTGTCCTGTGTCATCCCTTTCCCTCTTCTCAGCTTGTTTTGTCTGCCAGGGAATCAAAGAACCATGGAATCGTTCAGGTTGGAAAAGCTTTCTAAGACCATCGAGTCCAACTGTTCCCTCAGCACTGCCAAGGCCACCGCTAACCCCTGTCCCCAAGTGCCACATTGACATGACTTTTAAGTCCCTCCAAGGACGGGGACTCCACCACTTGACAACCTGTTGGTGAATAAATTTTCCCTAATATTCCATCTAAACCTCCCCTGGTGCAACTTGAGGCAGTTTCCTCTTGTCTTGTTACTTGGGAGAAGAGACTGACCCCCACCTGGCTACGCCCTCCTGTCAGGGAGTTGTTGAAAACGCATCGGTACAGAGGAAAAAAAAGCTGATGGAATGTCACAAGTGTGGGCAAAATAACAAGGATTTAGGCACGCAGCTGCTGCCAGTGTGGTCGCCCAGTCCCCGGAAGCTGCTGCTGCTGGCCCACGCACAGCCACCCCTGCTCCCTCTGCATCTCAGAATAAAGAGGCTTAATCAGAATGGATTTCTGTTCCTCCCCTGCTATTTTTGTTGCTACTCAACTGTCGGAAGTCCAGCAGAGAGTGTGGAGCAGGGAGGGAACTGCACCAGCTCGCACTGAGTGAACCAGCTCGTGCCACCAGCAGCAGGGCTGGTGGCACATGTGGCATCACTGCCTTTTGTCACTCCTAGAACCCTGCTGAGCTCAGCAGCACATGACACAGGGGCACACCAGCCTGCCCACTGGAGTCCTGTTGGAGCCAGTGGATTGCACCCAGCACTTCCAAAGTGTGTACAGATATAAATAATCCCCTCGTGGGAGTGGGGAAGGACGACACATGTGCCAAAGGCTCTGGAACCCTTATCCCCTCACAGCCCCTGGGAGCAGGGAAATGAAGTGAAGACTAGGCAAGGCTGGAGCATCTCTCTGCATCGCTAATGACCCAAACTCGCCTTGTATCAGCCTCTCTTCCTTCAAGGAAAAACCTAATCCAGCTGGGGATTATTTCTGACTACTTACTTCCTGTCACTTTGCCAGTTTAAATGCAGCAGAGCTTTCATGGTTGGATTTGGGAGGACAAAGCCTAACAGATCTCGTGTTAGGACATTTTTGCCTGCAAGGACAGCCTTCTTCTCGCAAGTGTCATACAGTCTTTGCAGTGTGGGCTGGATGTTGTTATTTGTTTCTACTTTGCCCAGTGCAGAAGGGTCTGGGACCAAGAGCAGGTGGGTGCCAATGGATAGTGCAGGGAACAGCAAGAGGTGCAGGGCTTGGCAAGGGTGCCCCCACCACCAACCCTACAAGGGCCAACACGATCTGCCACGGACTTTGCTTCTGTTTGAGCTCGCTTTGTTCAAAGCCTAGGAAACGGTACATGTGCACTCTGCTCACACCTACACACGCTGTGTTAAAATAACACAATTAAGGCTGCAAAATCCCCCACTCGCAACGCAATTTGCAGCCCCTCAGCTGTGGGTGGGAGATATCTTTGCTGCCTCTGCGCGGGCCGGGGGCCGGGGGTGCTGCGTCAGGCGCTGCCCCACGCGCTGCGGGGTGAGCGGGGGAGCGCCGGGGGTGGCAGGATGGGGGGCGTCGGGCACGGCTCAGGCAGATGCCCCAGGGAAACTTGGGCTCTTCCTGTACTGTGCCCCAAACCACCTTTGTGGTACCCATGGGATTGTTTAGGACTGGGGGGCTTATGGAAACGATGGAGAGTGGCTTTTTACACGGGCAGATAGTGACAGGACAAGGGGGCATGGTTTTAAGTTACAAGAAGAGAAGTTTAGATTAATTATTAGGAAGAAATTCTCCCCTGTGAGGGTGGGGAGGCCCTGGCACAGGTTGCCCAGAGAAGCTGTGGCTGCCCCTGGATCCCTGGAAGTGTCCAAGGCCAGGTTGGATGGGGCTTGGAGCAACCTGGGCTAGTGGAAGGTTTCCCTGCCCGTGGCAGGGGGTGGGACTGGATGGTCTTTAAGATTCCTTCCAACCCAAACCATTCTGGGATTCTATGATTCTATGACCAGTGTCCCAGTGCAGCCACGTGCAGGGCTCATCTCAGTGTCCAGCCTGTGACACCAAGATGTGACCTGTGACCATTGTGTGCCACTTCAGCACCAGTCCCAGGAACTGCTCAGGGATAACCCCTCCTCAAAAAATGCACAGGAAAGGTGGTTGGGTGGGTGCTGCTGACCCCAACCCTTGTGGCCCCATCCTCACACTCCTCAGAGGGCTGTGTCCTCCCCCAGCCCACAGAGCGCTGCCGCTCTCCGGATGGAAATGCTGAGAATCAGGAGCTGGTGCTGTGCGCCCAGAGAGCCTGGGCAGAGCTGCACCGCCTCCAGCCTGAGCTGGGAACCAGGCACGGGGCCCGTGGGGAAGCAGGGAATGAACCAGGGTGATCCACGGCCGGGAGCCAGCGGGAAGCCGGGGAGGGAGCGCGGCGGGGCAGCAATCAGCGTATCCTGCCTGGGGAGTAGCACAGACGGTGATTTCAGGTTGAGGAGCTACTTAATTTTCACGTTCTTAATTTCTCGGTACCTTCATAATTTTCTGTTTGCCTTTTTGGAGTAAATAACTAGTAATTCCATGCGAGTGCATACAGATGAGGGCTGGGGAAGCACACGCCGTCGCGTAAATCATTCGCTTTCCCGTCTCACCCGTGGCCCTTACAGGACTGTGAATTCAAGAGGTAAGTGTGTTCTAGGGCTTGTTGGAAAGGTCGTATGAGTCATGGGCTCATGCAACCGGCTGAGGAATGTTTGAGGGAGATGAAGAGACAGTGGAGAGGAAGTGGACAGGGGGATTGACTGGTGGGAATGGTTCAGGAGCGGGTTGCGGGTATCAGGGATGTTCGGGATGAATTGGTGCTTGGGCAGGGGTTAAACACGGTGTCCCCGGGGCACGGACAGTCCTGTGTCAGTGTGGGCAGGGGCTGTGCCCTCCCTGGGTCTGCTTTGTGGGTGTGTGGCCCCCAACCCCTCGCACCAGATGCCACCCGGTGCCCGGTACCGGTGCAGCAGTTCCAGCGCTGTGC